AGGAGAAATAAAACTCTTATTTTTTCTTTGTATAGAAACCTTATTAGAAATTAGAGAGCTCAAATAAGATTTTATCTTATATTATTTTCAACTCCTAATTGAAATATTACTCATTTAAAACTCCTTAATACGAGTTAAACATATTTTTAAGAACATCAAGATTTTGCACCATGCGGTTCTGTAACAAAACACTTGAAAAGGTTGTTATTTTATTAGAGATTTTCGACCAAGCGACTACATACATGCATCGAGGACATTAAATTAGGAAAGTGACCGTGGGACCACATTCACGCATCACAGGAATCTTTAGGCCGTTTTTTGTTGTGTTACTTTTGTTTTTAGTTTAACAACATCGCTTTTTAAATTGTTGCTGGTTCTTTTAATTTGAGTTTAACACACAAACGACCTGGGGAATAACTTGGAATCTGATTTTTAGAGAAGACTGACATATATTTTGAAATGAGAAGAAAATACTGAGCTCCGCTATTCGAAACTTAATTTTTAAATTATATAATTATATGGTACAAAACTGAAATTTATGAACACATTAATACTTATTAATATAGCACAGATTGTAATGATAAACAAATATATAATGTTGATATTTTTTCAAATAAATTGTAAGTGCCGTTTGTAAATTTGTAAATAAATGTTCATTAGCAGAATATTTTTGAATAAATTATAACTATTCAAAATTTGCTCTATGGATTTTTAAGAAATTATGAATACACAAAACTAACGAACAATATATTCAAATTTATAAATTTTTAAGAAGAACTTTAGCTTACCTGAAATAAGAAGAAATTACTGAACTCCGCTATCCGAAACTGCGGTTTGCGGGATGCGGGCTCAATTTATACAGTTTTTTGAATTTTGGTAAATTTGGGGGAAACGTTTGTTTTACTTGATTAAAGGTTAAGTACTTAATGCTGTTAGTGTATACAATATCGTTTCTATGTTAATTTATTATTAGAGATAGGAGAAATTTGTGGATTCAGCATGTAAAGGTAACATCATTTATGAATGAAACTTGTGCAGATTAAGCATAGAGAAGCTTGAATTTTTGCCAATCATTACTCACAATAAAATAGAAGAAAGAAAAATATATTCATCAGGAAATTGGCCATGATAAATCCCATTTTCTTACGAGAAAGTGACAAAAAACAGCTGTCCGTCCTATTATCAAGGGCAGACTTGAAAATATGTCATTTCCTTATTATTATTAATAAGGAGGCTAATTTTCACATTTATGTCTTGAATCAATGAATTGGTTTATATACTACAAAAGTAACGCAAATCAAACGGGAGATCAGTTTTTGTCCTTTTAAGTTTGCTATGAAATTTTAAAGATATCATATTTACTTTCTAGAAAAAAGTTGAGTTAACAGTTCTTTCTACTTTCCATTATATATTTTTAATAGAATTATTTCATTCTTGCAAGAAATTAACGTTTCAAAAAAACGTTTTATATGCATTAAGATATATTTCCCATTTTTTGTAGATATTAACCGGGGGCATTTTTGCCAAAGTAAGCTTATAATTTCTTTGTCCGCTTAATCCTATTTGTTATAGAAAATGTAACGTGATGGGATGCAAGAATATATAGATTAAACTTGATAAAACTTTTAAGACTGTATTTTTTGCAAGCCTAATCTTAACCTGCTGAATTTGTAAAATGCGCTCTTTAAGCTTCCATTTTTTAGACCTGACCTGACTATCAACCTAAGAATATCAAGATGAATAATTTTTACAGTAAGTCAGTCATAAGAACAGTGTCTGTTCAGTCTTTACGGACGTGCAGCCTGTCTTATATGTATCTCTTTACTGGTTAATTCATTTCGGTTCCAGCAATGTATACAGTTAACAGTTGTCATATTTACATCTAAGCTTATTCAAAGTTAAAACAAATTTTCTTAACCTGCCTTTATGTCTCTGACACTGTAGCATAAACGTTTTAACTTTCTTTTGCTTTATATACTCAAGACGGAAAATCAATGCGATAGGTGCATCGAAGAAACGTTTTTAAATACGTAATTTCAAATCAAACGATGTACGTAAATTCAATGCCATTTAACAGTGCATGAAGATATGAAAACGACTATGAACTCAACAATGAGTGACAGAACAGAAAAGGCTTAATTACATATATAGGGATTTTTTCATGTGAATGAATGCCATTTGGTCGTAATGAATATTATTTTGTCCTGTAACTGCCTGTCAATTAAAATATTTTTCGATGCACCCTTTCGCACTTATATCTTTTTGTCATGGTACCTACATACCTCATAAGAAATAATAGAATAACTCAAAAAGATTAGTTTTATATTTGTATAAAAACGCATGAAAGCAAATACTGACATCCTAATTTATTATGCTGACTTTCGGGAAATGTATTTTTTTCTAATTCAAAAAGATACCTTATTAAAGGTTCTCTTATTTAATACAACTTATATTACTAGGATGGTGATGAAAGGTGGAATTTTACTCATTTTTCTCTTTCCGATTAAGGTAACAAACGTTACTTTCAGTAGCTTAATAAAATGGTATTCTTTTAAACTCAATGTTTATTATGCAAATACAATTTTAGTTCTTTCCGGGACATTATGTTTCATTATTAAAAATTCGGAGTCTCTAAGCATTAAATAAAAAAGATACTGTTGTTATTTTTTTTTCAGTTTCCCTTACAAGTATCTAAAACAAATGTATATGTCTGTGACACAAATGATTTTAAAACTATTCACAACAGAATGTGAATGTTATATTTGGTTGGTCCTAACAAAGGAAAAAAGACGCACCATTTAATCTAGTTCAAATACTTTTTTTTATTTTAAAAAGTAAATATTTAGATTTTGAATTGCGTTTCATACCTTACAGAAATATCATTTTGCAAGAAGTTTGATGTGATAAGACAAATATGACAAAAGAATAAGAATACAGTCAAATGCTTCCAGTCAATAAGAACGCTCGAAATTAAGAGAAAGATCAGGACGATATTGTACAGTTGTGGTATTATATTGAATATGGATTTGTATTTCTAGTTACTTCTTCTCTTTTTGATGGGGTTTAAATTACGTCCTTTTTTTAACAAAGTCATTTCTCGTTGAATTCAATGCGTTATGGTTGAAGGGATGCTTTTATTCTCACAAACGCAAAGTACTGTGTAATCTGGTATCATCTGATTTAAGAAATGCACAATTTTGTTCACGAGGCAAGACATATAAAACACAAGAACATTTCAAAGTATGAAAATCTTCTTTACTACTGTTAAATGAATGTGATATTGCATTACACAATTTACAACATTCAAATAATGAGAATACAGATTAACAAATCCTCCTTATATTTTGACAGCAAGGTCAGTTACTTTTTGATGATATTATTTTTCTCGGAACAATTATGGGAAACATATCACCAAACTGGTTAAAACGTTATGTTTTCTACTAATAATTGTCATGAAAAAGAACTCCTGAGAAAGTATTTTTAACCAAACCATATTTCCACAACGATTCACTGCTATCGCACGATCCAATGCAATTAACTGAAACTTGATCTGCTAGACCTACTTCAGCCAGAGCGTTCAATGTGTAGCATTTATGCCATTCTCTTTCTCCAAATCCACCTTGGGCGACAACCTGTCCTTGGACGATGATACCAATATAAATATGAGTAGGTGAAGGCAAGCATATCTGGAGTAGTTAAACAGTACAAGACCAGGACTGGGTTTCCACAAAGACTGCCAGTTTTATTTAATTGTTAACCCACCACCTGGTGTTGATTGGGCTATTTGTGAACACAAATACTTTGTTGTGCTTTATAGAAAAGTCAGTCATCGTGTCTGATTTGAATGCGACTAAGGGTTTAATGGCTGAAAAGAAAACAAAAGTTTTGCTGTAAAGGTTTATACTTTAAATTATTATGTACGTATAAAATGTTTTATTGCTTCAACTATGTTCATATAACACCTCCAAAAAATTATCATTTTCACTAAAAAGAGATTATAAAATTTAATTGTCATTTAGTTTCAGCGTCGAAAAGTCAATTTAAAGTCAATGGTGCTGCAAACAATCACTACAGGCACTTCGCTTATTCTGTTGTATGCATGGCAATTATGTGAATATATGTTCTTTTTCAATAAACATAGATTTAAAGAAAATTCTGTGAACGAAATATTAAAAACTTATTTTAGAAGAAATCTCTGTTTCTCCATGTTGTAAACCTCAAAATGATTATAAAATGAACAGGAATTCAAATGAAACGAAATTATTTCAAATAAGGATTCTACTCAGGTTCATTTATTTCAAAAATAGATATACAAACACTGCCGATGTGTTACCTCTCTATATAAAAGTAAAAAAACAATATAGGATTTTTATTTAGAAAATGTGTACTTGATTTATATATTTTTGTATCTCATTATCAACAACAATATTGAGACAGGATTATAGAAACTTTTAATTTTATAATTACTTTAGATTTTATTGACGAACAAAACATGTATACCGGAAACATAGACATACCTTTACATGGTTTTTGTTTGCATATTTCAACATCGGTGGAGTCACCAAAGCAATGAACGCCGGTTCTCTTCGGATACGGATTGGAGCATGAACGGTTTCTCTTCTTCAGACCGGTGTCACATGTCACAGAACATTCTCCCCAATCCGACCAGTTAGACCAACCACCATTTACTTTGATTAAATAAACATAAATTATGAAATGACTATTTGATAATTTTATATTCACATATATCATACTTAATATAAATGCCTTTTTGTTCCTAGTATTAGCTTTACAAAAAAGACAATATGATAAAATAATTATCATACAAAGAATTAGAAAGAAAAAAAATGCGACTTTTATGTGTTTACTCTAAAATAGGGCCTAGAAGCGACTTAATGTTCATTTTAATGGTTGAAAAATAATATAAGTAGAGCTTAATGTGACAGACGTTTATCCTAGATATTAAATGAAAAGAAGAGCTATTCGTGATAAGTAATTACCAGGGCAGAGCATATTATTGCAGCGTTTTGTGTCAGTGTCATTTCCTACACACATCAGACCTTGATACGCGGGAGCAGGGTTAGTGCACGTGCGCTTTCTGATGTGTATGCCAACGTCACATGTGACGTCACACGTAGACCATTCAGACCAATCAGCCCAGTTTCCGTCAACTATAGTAATTGTTTTGAGAAATACTGTACAATAAGATCAATGAATTTCAAATAATCAAATATGCTTTTGAAGTTGCTATTGCCAATTTAATATTTTCTCTGGGTTATTTATAACATTAAGACCATAATATAAATAAACATGCAAATTGAAAATATCTACAGTTATTCAACAAATATAAGGTTTGAAAAAATACAGAATAAAGTTATCTAAGAGTTTAAGTGCAAAATTCTTCTTTCTTACCTAATGAGCACAGACGACAAAACTTAGGACACATTTTCTTTGCCTGGTGTACTTTTCTACAAATGTTAAACGCCACATTCATATGTGCGCAGTCAACAGTGACGTCATCAATACACGTTGAGGCTAAAACATATAAATGTCTATAATTACCTATACATTGCAAAATACATTTTTTTAATGAAAAACTAAAACTACTTTAATATTAACTCTAGCTCAGGTATTTCATTCTTTCAATTATCAATAATTATTTAATTAGGATAAAGATATCTAGTTTTGAGTGCATTAACGTATTTTAGTCTAGAAATATATACGGCGTAGTGATATGTACTCTGAATGATTAATTATAAAGCATTTGGTCGATAAACCGTACAATATTGTATTACAACGCAAGAAAAATTGATATCTATTTCTATTCTAACATCTAATAGAAACAGAATTTATGTTTAGGAAATAGATATCAATTCTGAGTGCATTGTTGTAGCATAATGCACGGTTTGAGTTCAAATGCGTACTAATATAATCACGAAGGCCGATAGGCCTAAGTGATTAATTACAACGCATTTGAACGAAAAACGTGCATTATTATACAATAATGCACGAAGAATTAATATCTATTTCCATTCGAACACGTCAAGAAAAAATATAATTATTATTATAAAGTTGGACTTTATGTTTGGTGGTTAAATTTGTTTTTGCCTCAGAGTTTCCAATAGAAACGTTCTTTAAAAGCTGTTCCAGTGGGTTGAAAAAAATCTGTCGTTAAATCTACCGTGTGTAGAAACATTTTGAGAATAACGAATTTTGAAAACGTTGATATAACTTTGTCTGTTCATTTTATTTCACTCTATCATTTTTCAAGCGAAATACAAATTATTTAAAGTGAAATAAATGTAAAACTTAAACGCGTTTGCGACATTAAAATAGCGTACTTGATTTGATTGTTTTGCACGTGCTAATTGGCGCTACATTGTGACGTCACGTAAACAACACTTTAAACGCCTGTACAGCGTTAACGACTGAATTAAAGATATTGGTGTTCGGATTCATTTTCTTAGTTAAACCATTTTCCTTCATTCTAGATAGTTTTCACAACAAAATTCGACAATTTATTTTTTATTTATCAGATTTTTCAAACAAAATGGCGCCCTCAATGTGAAAATACACAGGGAGATAATAAGAACGGCGAGTGCATTGATGTAGAATAATGCACGCTTCGGGCCTTCTTTGTTTATATAGAAACATTTCCGATAGTGTTAGAATTAATTATATATGTTGAACTATATAATGCGGAGTCGAAATTTTCATGACTCCAAGATATTTATTCACGTTAAATCTGACGTCATACGGCGTACGATCATATTTTTTTATGTAATGTATACCGTGTAAGTATATACACTTCCCGGTATGTTCAAAGGAGGAAAGTGTGGAGCGTGTTATAATATAATATTTACTTACATAGTGGATCTATATTTTATAGAAAACATTAAATTATAAAACTATATCCTTAACTTACGTTTTCGGTGCTGACATAACTGGCTGTTACATTTGTCTCTACTACAACACTCGAAACATTGGTCCGCCACATCTCTTTTCACTTTTGTTACATTGTAGATTGGAATAGGGCCACAATTCTAAAGAAAGATGATCAAATTTTATTAAGAATTCAAAGAAACCAAAACAGTTTTTCTAGTTATATATTTTACTTATATTCGTGTTTTGAAAAACAATGTGAGAATGTCCCATCTTAAAATCAATGTATGTAAGTTAAGATTTTTGTTTTCAAATAAAATATGTTTTATCTTAATTTTACCTCATTATCTGTGATTCCTAATGTAAACGTTCTTGTTCGCTCTTTGATGTCAACTTTAGCATAACAGGACTGAAAAGTTGATTTTAATCAAACATTCAAAATGTATAAGAAATTAAGCAAATTAAACAAAGATTATAATGAAAGACATTCTAAAATTGTAATTTTAATAAGAATAATGACATTTCGTTAGATAATGTGCAAAAATATCTTCTATAAATAAAAATATTCTTAAAGCAATACTTAAATTTTATGGAATAGAACCCCAAGAATTATTGTTTTACAAAACGTTGATACCATTAAACATTTTGATTTATCTGATTTTTAATTAGATGGATCTTAACGCAAGCAAACTTTTATACCTGATCACTGTTACGTCCTGTTATGTTATGGCAATCATCAGGATGAACAACATTTTCACATGTGTAACATTCATAAGCAACTGTAAAGATCAAAATAGAGAATGACTATAGAAATAAAAGTTTTTGAAAGCTAAAACAACGTTATTTTAATACTTAAAATCAAATTGGCATTTTCATGATTTTGAAAACGATTCAAAGTGAAAACTTTGATTGTTTATTTTACAAATAGCGAAGAAAACTCTTTGAGTATGAAAAGTAAGTGCTTATTGAGACCAATATCTCCAGAACTTTAAAACTGATTTAAACAATAAACATAACAACACAATTTTAAATTGATAAAGATCTTAATTAAAACGATCTTTATTCATTACAGCAAAATTAGCAACAAAACTTGAAATAATTCGTCCTTCATCCCAGAAATGATGACAGACCTAACAATTGTTTATTTTTATTTTTTGTAAAAAATACTTTAAATCATATTTGTACTCACCTGTTTCTTTTACTAAGAAAACCAAAATAATCAGTGGTTTGTCTACAAATCAAAACATTAATAAAATCATAAAAATTTAAACAATTTTACGAATCGTTATATAGCTATAATATGTAGAGAACGTGAAACTTGTATTAGATTAGCACCATCATATTTGTATTAGATAAACATTGTTGTTTTAAAAGTTTTACTTTATTTATTTATCTAGCAATATATATTAAAATGTTAATCATAGTTTACGTGTTTATTTTTGTTTTGATATCTCACACTTTTTACTCATTATTAATACATATCAAGCAAATCATATTCGGAAACAAAACATTATGTCTTATTATCTAGAAAAATCAACTACATCATTTTAAAGGCGATGCTGATTTTTTTCAAAAGTACTTACGTAGAAACATGTTTTCCTGTTCAATGAAAAAACACGAATAGAATGTCCTACTGAAAATAAAATGCCTGATTTTTAACACAGAAATATAAAAGCAAGAATATGCTAGTATATAACCTTTTAAAAGTTATATAATTTATTACTTGAAATTTTAGTTGCATTTATTCTTCGGTGGAGAGCAAGTCATTTAGATGCTTTTTATATCAAAAACATAAGAATTCTTGAAATGTCAAAGTAATTTTGAAACTTACGGAATGTTCATTAAAATTTACTTACAGTGTTATCACTACCTCAAGTCCCTGACAACTAAGCAACTTAAAAATATATGATTTTTAACCGTCTGTCAAAACATCTAAGGCCAAAAATATTTTATTGTTAATTAGTGTATCAGTTAATTTGTTTCATATTTTTCCAAAATAATTTAATCAAAGTTATTCACCCTAATAACTAATGACTTAAAACGAACGAAAGGAAAGTTTGCCTGCATTTATATACTTTTATCAATCATAATATAGTATGTCATTTGAATGTTTTGAAATTCAAACAATAAAAAAATAGTTTATAATTGGTAAAGAAATGAGACTTCTGGCGATTGATATTTCAGTTCATCATCTAGCCCTTAATGCACTTAGGAACTGGAACTGGAACAATCAAATTCAAATTTTAGAAATATCTTTCTTTTGATATAAATCTGGGATGAAAGGTAAATAGTTATTTATGCTCTCATACAGTTGGAATTATTTGCTAGTAATTTAATTACCTGGAAAGAATGTTTTCAGCATTTTGATGTTGTTCAACGTAAGTTTGTCTATGATTGACATTTTTCGATAAAACGTTATAATAATGCAGGGCATTTATTGTGAAAGGTAACTTCACTCTCATCAGTAAAAAAATAAATTATATAATTTGCCTTATTCATAGTAGAATTTTGGTTGTTTATTGTTTACAACACGCATATAACTTTGACCCTGTTGTTTTCATCATTTGACCAAATTGTTTTTCAGTTGAATTTTTAAAAGATATGTTATCACAGTATGTGTTCTTTTGATGTAGTTGGTAAAGGTAATAATGTCAAATACCAAGGTATAACCATGACAATAGATATCTAAATTTAGTTAACATTTTTTGATAATTCTTTTCCCAAACTAAAAGAACAAAATCACAATGTCTCCAAAACATGAAAACCGCTTTTGTATTAATTGAAACAGGCTCTGTTTATTTGTTGTATATTTTAGGCATGATACGTTTGTTGAATGTATCTTCAAAGTAAACAATTTTAAATGAAGAAACATGCAATAAGATCGTTAGTTCTCATCGGCTTGAGAATAAGATAAGATTATTGTATGTACCTTAAAAACACTCATTCAAAGTAAACAATTTTAAATGGAGGGGCATGTGATCGTAAATTTTCACTGGCTTGAGGATATATTTTGTTATACGTGCACCAAAGTTGGATCTTTTTAATAAACTAACATGACTTAAATTAGACTTTAGGATGAGATACCACACAGCAAAAACATATTCCTCATACTTATTATTTTTAAGATTCGTTTTCTTATTTCATTATTGATGTTTGGAACTAATAGCCTATTAATATCAAACAATGTTTGACATTACAATCTTTTAAAAACAGCTGTAAAATCGTTTTTTAATTTTACAATTAGATAAATGACGAAAGATAACCATATTATAGTGTAGCTGTTGGAAACCTACATATAATCATTTTTTTTAAATTATTGTGAGTTTATCTATAATAATTATGATAAATGTGTTAATCGGAAGACTGAAAATATCTTTTAAGATTTTTTTTTTTTAATCTCAAATTTTGTATAGATTTATAGATATGTTGCTTTTATTAAAATACAGAATTTCGGAAATATTTTGCACATAACAATAGTTTAAAGAAGAATATTTCTGTTGATGACTTTTTTGAATACTTTTCGTCTGTTGGAAACGACATTTTCAATCACGAACGATGAGTATGAAGGTTCTGAATCAATGTATGAATGTGATAAAGGAAATAACACTTTGAATAAATTACATCTGCTGTTAAAACATTGAAAATGAATAAATCTGCTGAGAATGTTTTCCTTTAATGTATATTTCATTGAATCTGTTAATGTATAAGTGTCTCACATTTAATGCTCTTATCAAAATTTACTGACCGCATCATTTGTAAACTTAAAGAAATAATGAAAAATCTTGCCTTGCCCAGTTTGTTTGCAAAATTATAAATGAAGCAATATAAGTACCTTAAGCTTTGCTAACATTTGACCATGGTGTTTCTAAATATCAAATATCTTATTTGATAGCATTTATATATGAATGCCTTTGTCTTATTTTGTATTGTACGTAGATTGAATTATACATGTATGTTATTGTGCTAGCCGGATAACTTACTGACATGCAAAGGTTCTGGCGGGATATGAACCTATAGTGATAAGGGTCAAGCGGTTTGAAGTCAACAACCTTAACCATTCGGCAAGGACGTCCCCAAGTAATAACGCTTCACCTTTACGAACCATGTTGCCAGATTGAGCAAAAACACGCAGCATAATCAATAAACTTTAATCACTACAGTGTAACATGATCTTTTTATTTTATTCTTGCTAATGGGTGTCCAGTCAGATCGACACTGAAAACGTCATCTTATAACTTTCAACTTTGACCGAATTTAAAGTGCATTCATTACATTATGTCAGATAGGATTAGTACCTGAATAGAACAATTGACCCTCCGTAAGCTGGTTAGCTTTCTCACATGAAATAAAATTATAATTAAACAAATAGCTAATATCTAACAGAAATATTATTCTGGAAGCAACATGTTATTTTCAAGCTCGATGTGATAAGACAAATATGAAAAAAGTGAGATAAAGAGAAAGATACAGACCATTTTGTATAATAATTTTATTTTAGTTCTTTATTGAATAAAAAATTGTATCTACGATCAAATTAATTGTGTTATTTGTCTGTTTGTTATGGGTTTAAATAAAGACATTTTTGTTGTATTCCACATGTACACAGTTACTAGTATTGTTGACGGGATGTATATATTGGGTTAATCATATTTTTTTACTATTATACGAGGTGTGTTCGTAAAGTTCCAGGACGATTATTAATTTGAAAAACATTGCTGATGGATTTCAAAAAGAAAACAAGCCGCACAATTTCCTTCCATATTTCTACTAGTATGCGCAATTTTATCCAATTCTATGCATAATGTATGGAGAAATATATGTACAAAATTAAAAAAATATATAGATATAAGTAGAATTTTGATCCTTTTTGAAATAAATCGTTTTAATTTTGGAGCGTTTTATTACCCATTTTTCGCTTCTTAATTTCAATTCAATTCTCACAGCTAGCTAGGTACCGCTTTTGGCACGTTTTCCTCGTGCATTTCATGGGCATCAAATCTTATATCTACCCATTTTTTCACTGCTAGCCGTTCGATAAACATCGTTTTGTTATAATTAATTTAACTTCACACTTGAGGCATTTAACGCACGTGGTAGATTTCTCCGAATTTTTTATTGGATTGCCTCTCGCTCAGTCATTCTTTCGCTCAGTCATTAATACTTCAGCTGTTTGTGAGCATCATCGGCACAACGCCCAGGGAAGGCAGAGGCCGTCAACCTCGCCGCTTCGAGCACATGGCAGCCGGGTTATGCAGGGATAGAGCCCCTGAATGTGGTCAAGCGTAGAGACGGGAGATATAAGTTGCATAGGAGGCAATGCTAACGTTCAACTGCCAGTGGCGTTCCCTCAAGCCTGACATGGTCCGAGAAGGGATGCTTTTTCGACCGGGAATTTTCTCCCCGAGTATGGTGATTTGCCTTTATTAGCTTTTAATTTACAGGTACAACAGCAAAATGCAAGCCCGCACATTCCATTAAATCTAAGCCAACAGAACACGGTTTCGAACCTACGCCCACTTTTCCTTACCCCACCAATCACCAATATAGGCATGTTTCAGTCCGCTTATGACGGCATTAGCGCCCATATACCGGAACATTTAAAAATATGGGCCGGAAAATTTGTTAATTTGTCAATGTTTTTAAGATCATCGGTATCGAACGCATTACAAGGGACGCACATATTTTTAACCGATGATGGTACGCTTAAAACTTGCCCGAACGGTTCTACCGAGCAAATTAAAAATATTGAACAATGGTCCGATGCCTTCATGATTTTCATGGATATATATCTGATCAAAAATTCACATGTTGCTAATTACCTGTTAAGCTATATGTCTATCATAGGACATGCAGACTCACGTAGAAATTACGTTGCATGGAGAGTCTTCGACGAGCAATTTCGCATTTGTCAAGAAAATAACCCCCAACAATGGTCCAGTTTAAATACAGACCTGTGGCTGACCTGTGGCTGAAAGTTATGACTATTCCCAAAATACATAGCCCGGCCAGTAGCTTTAACAGTTCCGAACCAAAACATGAACAATCACCCTCGCAAGGACCTTGCGTCAGGTTTAATGAAGGTTATTGCCCGTTTGCTCTAAGCACATTTGCTCAAAAGGAATTTGCATTTCAAAGTTCATTTTTTTCCTTTCGGACTGGACAAGCAACACAGCCTGCGTTTCAGCTCCAAACCTCTAAGCGATATGTTTACTTTGGCTCTTCACAAATAATCAAATTTAGCTTTAAATAAGGAATTAGAACGTTACCCAAACAAGGATTTAGCTTTAGAGATCGCCGACGGTTTTTCTAACGGTTTTCCTCTTTTGATCCTAGGCTGTATATACGAATCAGGAACCACAAATCCGCCCTCAAGAATCCTGAAATTGTGTCTCTTAAACTTAATACGGAATTTTCAAGCCGGTCGAATGGGCGGTCTTTTTAATGAGCCCCCTTTCTTATATTTTAGAGTTTCTCCTGTAGGTTTGGTAGAGAAAAAAAGAAAAAAAAATGAATTTAGATTAATTCATCATCTCTGTTTTCCAAAGAATTCTTCTGTAAATTATTTCATACCGTTAGAATTAAGCTCAGTCCAATATATGCATTTTGATGAAGCTGTTTTAATGCTGAAAATCTCGGTAAACACGCTCTTTTAGCAAAAACCGATATACAGTCCGCCTTTCGGTTATTGTCTATAAAGGAAAGTGATTTTAAACTTTTAGGCATAAAGCAAAAAGGGAAATATTTTTTTGACAAGTGCCTGCTATTCGGGGCATCAATATCATGTTCTACTTTTGAAAAGTTTTCTACATTTCTGGAGTTATGCATTAAAGAGCGGTCAAAGTCTTGTAATATCAAGCACTACCTTGATGACTTTTTATTCGGCGGGAAATGACTTACTGCAGAATGTAAAGATTTGTTATTTCAGTTTTTCCAACCATGCCGCGAACTAAATGTTCCTTTCGCTGAAAGTAAAACGATATACCTAACAACTTTTATTACTTTTCTTGGCCTCGTTTTGAATTCCGACGACATGGCTATCAAGATTCCCCGAAATAAGTTGTTTGAGCTTAAGGAAAAGCTAAAAGTTACGTTGTCAAAAATGAAGGCTACAATGAAACATATCCAGTCTCTTATAGGAAGCCTTTCGCTCCCTTGTAAAGCGAAACCCATAGCTCGTCCTTTTTTGAGAAGGATTATAGATCTAACAGTGGGAGTCGTCACAGAAAAACACCATTATTTAAGGGTCTATAGGGAGGTAAAAGATGACTTACTTATTTCGGTGTCCTTCTTATCAAATGTTAATGGGGTCTCTATTATACCCGAGAATAGATGGGAAACTAACGAGGATTTGCGGCTATTTACGGAGAGCTCTAGTAAAGGCTTTGAGATTTACTTTAATGGCGCATAGGCAAATAGCACGTGGCCAGAGAGCTGGAGAGAAAATGGTATAACTGGAGATATTACGATTTTAGAAATATTCCCGATTGTTGAATCTATCTTTGTTTGGCCTGCTGAATTAACAAACAAAATAAAACATAATTCGTTGTGACAACATGTCTGTATGTCACATTATTAACTCTATGACCAGTAAATCAAAAAATGCTATGATATTTGTCAGGAAATTCGTTTTTCAGTGTTTAAAATTTAATATAATGTTCAAAACTAAACATATATCTGGCATTAATAATGGTATTGCTGATGCTCTTTCAAGATTTGATTTTCAACGTTTCAGACTCTTAGCACCAGCAACAGACGAATTACCGGCAACCGTTCCTACGCATATTCTGGATATCTTCAGCAAATAACAGAATGCTTAGCTTCAAACGGTATATCTCGTAACACAAAATTAGCATTACGGTCATTTGATAACTTTTGTATTATTCACAATATTTCGCATCTTCTTCCAACTGATCAACATAGTGTTTCAATGTATATAGCTTGGTTATATCAAAAACATTTATCTTATAAATCCGCCACAACATATCTAGCAGGCTTATCATACTTTCATAAGTTACACAATTGGATTGATCCAACAAACTCGTTTTACATTAAAACAGTTATAGAAGGCTATAAACGTAAACTTTTCGTGCTGATATTAGGCTTCCTATAACTATTGAAATGCTGGGAGACCTTTGAAACTCGCCTTTTTCGCGCACCAGTTTTTGGTAGCCTATTTTGGCTTGTTTCGCATAAGCGAGCTCGTTGCTACTTCACAAAATATTTTCGAACACTCTTTACAAACATCAGATCTACGCTTATAGTGTATCAATGGCACCAACATTGCATATTTTACTTTAAAAAGTCGAAAAATAACCAGTGTGGCTCACCACAGCATATATTTATATCCGGGTTACAAAAAATCCAGCCATATCTTGAACAATTTATTTGTTTTGCCATGCAAACGGTCATCCGGCTATGTTGTCTCTATGCATTATGGCTAGAGGCATTTTTCTAATTTTCCCATTTTATTAATGAACTTCAGTTTTAATTTGGAATTTATTTCTTCTTTGATTTAAGTTTCGTATATTAAAGTCACGGCCTTATTCCAAAAAATGCATGTGTTTGTTGTTATTAAAGTTCTAAAGAAATTCGAGCTTTTGTTTTGTGAGTGACAACTATCGAGTGACAACTCGACGAAGTGGTTTATTCGAACCATTTTGATTATCACAAAACTTTTACCTGCTAAAACTTGTTGTCTGCGATTACTTTAAGCTTATTCGAACCATTTTGATAATTACCAAACTATCGTCTGCTACTACTGACTAAAATTATTCGTACCATTTTGATTATAACGAGACTGTCTTCGGCTAACACTAGACGAAGTTTGTTCGAACCAATTTGATCATTACCAAACTGTCGTCTGCTACTAAGCTATGAAGTTGGTTAGTACCAATCTACTTATCACCAACCTGTCAGCTGCTATTACTTTACCAAGTTTGTTGAATCATTCGATTCATTATCAAAATGTCGTCTGCTATTACTTTGACGAGGCTATCGCTCCTTTACAAATTAAACATTTAGTAAATCTTAATCAACAAAGAAGACATACATTCTATTTTATTATAGTATAGGTATATTTTCTATAATTCATATTTAGATAAAAATAAATGTTTGAAATGTGATTTAAAGAATTCAAGACTTTAAGAATTTCTTATCTTTCAAAAAATAGTGTTCCATAACTCCATACATCGTCTTTGCATCGGCCGCGTGCAAGCGAGATTTAACGACGTTCTGAAAGTCTCGTCCTTCTGCTGCAAAGCAAAATTTCATTTGCACATCCGTTAACAGTTTCGGTACCCATTTAGCGCACCTTTTGGTCATTGACATTTTTTCAGTTATTATCTTGTGAATTGTTGTTTTACTGATGTCGCAATTTCTCGCAGAGACAAACGACGGTCGCCATTAAGCATTTCCTTAATCTCGTCACATGAAACGATGGGTCTTCCAGACCTCTGATCATCTGCAGTAGACGCGCGATCTACTTTGAATATTTTATACCATTCATACAAGACTGTACGCGACAATGTCTTTCTCCGAATGATTTCTCAAGCATTACTCTATTTTTTCCTCATTAATACTGTGGAAGTACTGAATAATTACTCGCTGTTTTTCGATGATATGTCGATCCATGGTTAGTAAGAGCATTATGCCATTTTTACGTTGTTATAACGTCATTTAAATCTAAAATCATCCCAAAAATGACGTCATATTGTTGATGCCGTATTTTACATATAGAGGTAGCTATAGAAATCATATCTCGTGAACATCAAATAGCATTCAAACTGTATTTACAGACAAAACGTGTCTTACATGTAATTATAATATATATATGAATTTTAGTTAGGACCGGCGTCCGAGAAGTTTACAGACGAACCTCGTATACATGCAAACATACACAGAAACAACAGGTTTTCGAAATATAAACAAAGGGTTTGGCCCAAGTTCGTCCCCCTTTTATGCTTTTATTTACACAAACGCAAAGAACTATACATGTATAATGCTGTAACTCTTCAATCAGATTTTTTAAGCAATGCAGTATTTAGTTCACACGAAAACAGCTAAAAACACACAAGAACATTTCAAAATACATGTATGCAATTCTTCTGAAGTGCTTTTTACAAGTCTTACGTATTCTTCAATGTGATATTACAAGAAACAATTTATAACACTAAAATGATGAGAACAGTGATCAGCACATTCAGAAATATAAATCCCTCATATTTTGTAATAGCAAGGTCATTTACTTTTGATGAAATTATTTTTATGTGAAGAACAATGAGAAACTAATAAACAAACTGGTTGTGTTTTCTATTAATAATTGTCATGTAAAAGAACTCCCGAGAAACTACTTGTTACCAAATTATGTTTCCATAACGATTCACTGCTATCGCACGATCCAATGCAATTTACTGAAACTTGATCTGCAAGACCTGCTGCAACTAAGGCGGTCAGTGTGTAGCATTTGTGCCATACCTTGTCTCCAAATCCACCTTGGGCGACAACCTGCCCTTGGACAACGATACCAATATAAAGATGAGTATTTGGAATCGAGCATATCTGAGTTGTAAACAAGTACAGACCAGTAACTGGCGCCACAAAGATGCCAGTTTTATTGTTATAACCGGCACCTGTGTTGATAGGGCTATTTGTGAATACAATGACCTTGTTGCTGCTGACAGAAAAGTCAATTATCGTGTCTGATTTGAAAGCCACTGCAGGTCTAATGGCTGAAAAGAAAATACGAATTTTAATGTAAAAATAATAGTTGTTTCTTTAAGTCATAACCAAAATATCAAAATATGCATGTAGGACCGATATTGCTCCAAGTTATGTTAAAAAAAATCTGAAAAGAGATCGTAAGATTTTATTGTAATTCAGATAGATTCAGCACAGAAAGTATCAATTTAAGGAAAAGATGCTGCAAAATAATAAACAAGGACACTCTGGTTGATCTGCTTTATGTATGGCTATTGTTAAAGAATATTATCGTTCTTTAATTATCTCTGATATATAGGAAACTGTAAACATGGCAACCAATAATTCTTTTTAGAGAGAAACAAATATTTTAAAGTAACGTCATATATCTACGTGCTTTAAACTTCAAAAGAATTATATATGAATTTAAACAAATAACATGGAATTATTCCTCTTACTGAGTAACGCATTTATTTATATATTAAATATACATACTCTTCACTTCAAATTTGCTTTGTCACGACATAAACAATATAAGTGATAGTTTGTTTTTTATATAGAAATACGTTATATATATTAAAAATAATATGCGATATAATGTGCGTTTGTCAAATTATTTCCAAATATCCAGACGAGATAATGTGTAATATTGTCTTAAACGATTAAGTTAGCAGAAAAAATAATAAAAATGTAAATAAACCAGTTCAAGAAATTTTTAAAAGCAAGCTTTATAACATTTTCTTGAACGGGTTCAAAAACTTTTACATCATATGACTACAAAAGTGAGATTCTCTCATCACATGATTTAAAGCATTGGAGTTAATAAAAAAATTGACATGCAATGCCATGTAATAAAATAAGTATATACTAATACCAGTGCAATTTTATATATTTAGGCATATCATTAATAACAATTACTGATATGATATAACAAGCAACAGAAAATGGTCATAACCTACCTTTTACTTTCCTTATTTCGTTCTCAATTTCTTCAGCACTCTTTTCCAGCTGCTTATCCACTTTGTCTTTCAAAGAATCAATGGTGACAATCATGTCCTCCACATTCTTAACAGCTTTCTCAACATTATTTCTGGTGACATCCACTTCACTTTTTATTTTTTCAACAAAAACTTCCTGCCTTATCATTTTTTCTAAAGTTTGTTCCTCATAGTGAAATCGGGAACAAGAAGGCTCCGACACCAACGCCGAAGCAGAAGGTCTATAAAGAAATGTAAGTAATACAATTTCTAGCATGATTATAGATATTTCATAACGACTCTTAAACTGAAAGTGAACAGAGTTTGTTATTTTAGGTATTTGAGAAAATCTGTAGAAATGTAAACATCCTGTTACTTTCCAGTTAGAAACATAAACAAACCAAAACGTATTTGTAAATTGTTAACAAAAGCGATGCTAATGTATCTCTCGCAATACAATGAAACTTCCAACCTGTCTTATTATATATAGTTATCCTTTAAACATTTCATTTAACTTCACATTGGCAGTTTCACTTGTTTTGTATCTGTTTTCAATAAATCAAATAACAATTTGAATATGTATAGAGTGTTTGCTTTTACTAAAAATATTTTTGTCTCTAACTGTAGATTTTAAAATTGAATTAGATGCTACTTTCGTTCGGTTCCCACTTTCATACATTTATATTTTTACATGACAAGAAAAGAAAAACAGTTGAAAACTGTGCTTCATTGTACAATGGAGACAATATAGAATTAATCCAAAGTGACATTTCTCTTCCCAGGATACATTTGATGGGTAGATGCTGCCAATAAACAACATTCACAAAACATCAATTATGTAGGAAGCTCCATCACAAAATATATTAATTAGACTTTCTAAATATCTGAATACATTATGCAAGATTAAATTTATACCACTATACTATATTACAAGGCAGCTTGATTAACATTACGTTCATCCCTAGACACGAAGCATATTAGAAAAAATTCTCCATGTAGTGTCTGTTTGTTTGATGTTTTGTTTGTTTTTTGTTGTTGTTAAATTTTTAATGTTTATCTCGGGGGTTAATCGATCAAAATTTCACCAAACCATACCAACAAACCTGAATTGCTACATTAGAATGCAAAATGATTCGTAAAAATATACAATATCTATACGCAATGAGTGCCTATTTTCAAGATACATGTACTTTTTTTTTTCTCTTAAATATAAGCTATGCCGAAAAGCATCAGCGAACTTTATGCGCCGCCACGGGAGGTACGGGTTTTAGCCGTTCGTAGAGACGGCTGAACGGATAATAGCCCTACATAAATCGTCTTGAACCAGTTAGCAATTACTAAGAAGCGTAGAAAGAGGAAGCAAAAATTTTTAGAGAAAGTGATTTGATATTTAGTGATTTTATATAGCTAATTTTACGGACATTTGTGGATATCATAGGACACAAAACTTAATCTGGAAAGTACCAGGTTGGATATATTTGTTTCTTTGGTGTGATTACCACCGATTGTTTAAAAACTTTGTTTTCTTTATCTGTTTATATCGCCGACTGTCACCGAGTCAAAACGGGAATATGGCATTGGGTCGTATTCAGACTGGAATACGTGTGGCTGTTTTAGGTCACAGTTTTATTCGTCGGCTGCATGAAGACTTTAAACAAAATTCATATCCCGCAAACTACGATTTGGAAGAGTGTTCCGTGGTCCACTTTGGTATAGGTGGCTTTAGAGTATGTGATGGTGATGCAGTTACGTATTTCAGCTCAAAATTTGGGGATTTTCTGAGACAAGTTGAGCCAAACATCGTACTTCTTCAATTAGGAGGTAACGACGTCGATTCAGTAAAATCTTCTCTGGACATTGCCAATAGAATTGAAGAAATTACAGCTCTAATTATTCAGGAGTATGCTGTAGAGAAAGTTGTAGTGTGCGAAATATTCACCCGTGCTCGACCAACGAAAGTTACGTCAGATTTATTTGAACACAAACGCTTGCATTCAGTATCAATCCTGCAAACTCTTTTGGATATGCATGATAAAGCAAGATTCTGGAAGCACAGAAGGCTGTTTTACTCACAGACTCCCATATTCCGGAAAGATGGAATCCACCTTAACCACAATGGACAGCGACGCTTTTACAGGTCCTTGAGACATGCCATCATGTCAGCTGTTAGATCGGTAATCAAGGATCGGTCGTAGGGGAGTATTGTTAATTTTTATTTTTTTGGTATATTAGTTCATCATAAAACCTGTCTGTTGATAAGAAGGTGGAAGGGAATAAAGCCAGTATAAATAATATGATATCATAGAATAGAATATTATAGCTTGTAGAGTCACTATATTCATAATATTATTTATGTTATCATGAAGATAATAATTACAGTATAGTCTTTACAGAGACAATTAACTTAATTATTGTTGTCTGAGAGCCATTGGGCTATAGCAGAAATTTTATAAATTTTTATAAGCCATAAATAGTCTTTAGCAAATTTAAAATAAAAAACAACAACAAAAAACTCCAAAGTGAAATATAAACAGACAATGATCACAATCACTTAATGTCTACCATTATAATGTTCAATTGTTTGGAACACTTTCTGTGCATATCACATTAAGCACAGATCTTTAACTTTATTCAAATTATTATGTTTGTTTTCTTTGAGCCATTGTGCTTTAGCACAGCTTTATTTTCTGTGAGCCATTTAGCATTAGCACAGGTTTTTATATTTTCTGCGAGTCCTTAGGGCTTTAGCGCAGGCTTAAATAACATGTTTTCCGTGAGCCATTGAGCTTTAGCACAGGTGTGTATATTTTCTGCGAGTCCTTAGGGCTTTAGCGCAGGCTTAAACAACATGTTTTTCTGTGAGCTATTGAGCTTTAGCACAGGTTCTTATATTTTCTGCGAGTCCTTAGGGCTTTAGCGCAGGCTTAAATAACTTGTTTTTCTGTGAGCCATTGGGCTTTAGCACAGGTTTTTATTTTTCTGCGAGTCTTGAGGGGTTTAGCGCAGGTTTTTTTTTGTTTTTTTTTCCCCTGTGAGCTTTTGAGCTTTAGCACAGGTTTTTATTTTTCTGCGAGTCATTGAGGGCTTTAGCGCAGGTTTTTATTTTTCTGTGAGCTTTTGAGCTTTAGCACAGGTTTTTATTTTTCTGCGAGTCATTGAGGGCTTTAGCGCAGGTTTTTATTTTTCTGTGAGCTTTTGAGCTTTAGCACAGGTTTTTATTTTTCTGCGAGTCATTGAGGGCTTTAGCGCAGGTTTTTATTTTTCTGTGAGCTTTTGAGCTTTAGCACAGGTTTTTATTTTTCTGCGAGTCTTTAGGGCTTTAGCGCAGGTTTTTATTTTTCTGTGAGCTTTTGAGCTTTAGCACAGGTTTTTATTTTTCTGCGAGTCATTGAGGGCTTTAGCGCAGGTTTTTATTTTTCTGTGAGCTTTTGAGCTTTAGCACAGGTTTTTATTTTTCTGCGAGTCTTTAGGGCTTTAGCGCAGGTTTTTATTTTTCTGTGAGCTTTTGAGCTTTAGCACAGGTTTTTATTTTTCTGTGAGCTTTTGAGCTTTAGCACAGGTTTGTATTTTTCTGTGAGCTTTTGAGCTTTAGCACAAGTTTTTATAATTTCTGCGAGTCCTTAGGGCTTTAGCGCAGGCTTTAATAAATTGTTTTTTGAGCAATTAGTCTTTAACATCATTCTAAAAAAAAAAAAAAAAAAAAAAGTTATTTAATGACTGGACCGCCATAAATTTATGTTTACTTACTTAATGTGTGAATATATCTTTTTAAATAGCATAAGCACTTAGGTTATGAAAGAGGAAGATAGAGAAATTGTCTGTCTGGCAGTAATTTGTCATGGTCATTAATGCCAGATGCAAGATGCCTTGGAAGTAAGTTAGGGTCATAAAACTTTGTTCATGCTTAATTCAGTACCCCTGCAGAGATATTGGTATCATCAAACAGGATAATAGTAACATTGAACTGTGAATTCTTTGATGTAGGCATTGATATACATTCTCATCCCTAAGATGTCCATGCTTTATTGTATTGCTAGCTAATTACTTTATCAGTATGGTTAAGCAAATGGAAGTAGAATGATCATAAACAATAAAAGATAAAAATAAATAATAATGATAATAAATATTTAAATACAAAAGAAAATAAATAAAATATGAATACATATTAAACAAGTGAACAAAGTATTAAAACTTAATACATATCTATATATGTATATATTTTGTTATATAAGTAAATAATAAAAAAAAAAAAAAATAATAATATATATATATAATAATAATAATAATAGATAAAAAAAATACACACATATATATATATATATAAGAATCATAAAAATGTTATTAATTAATAATAGCCAGAATTTTAATGAGTGGTATCTCTTATATGGCAACATGAAATTAAAATGATTAAAAACATAAGCATATATTAATTACGAATTAAATAAATTATGGATTTATTCTTATTAAGAATTTAAAGTGTTACTATTTTTAATTTAAATATTTGCGGCAAAGGCCATGCCTCCAGTGTCATGTACCAGATTATATTAATCTGGTACTATTATAATAGTAGTCAGTTCCTAATGAATTGATATTTAATGTTTCAGCGGCAAAGGCCATGCCTCCATGTCATGTACCAGATTATTATATTAATCTGGTACTATTATAATAGTAGTCAGTGTTTTTGATTTTGTTATGAATAACAAAACCTTAAATAAATAAAATATGGCAGTTTTATTATAATTATTATTATTTTATTTTCGTATCGACTGACCGTTATACTTCAATACAATTACTACCGACATACATATCCGCTATGTAAAACAACAGTTAAGGGAATATACCTTTGAAAATGAATTTATGTTTTTGTTTGAAAAACAAGGTACTTGTTCTCTCTCATTTATTTTACAGGAGAGCCTTGAAGAGAATCTACAAACTTTGCTTACAGCTACTAGTAAATACAAAATTACGGAAGTACCAGTGTACGAGATTATACCACAAAAACATTAAAGAAGGACATCCACATACAGGGAATAATTAGTTGTTATAAAGGAAATAAAACCTAAACATGACCACAAACAATCTGACGAATGGAAACACTTAGATGACTGTTCTTACATTCCAGCATTTGGAATAAAAATAAAACAATAAAAAAAAACGATTTCTTCAAAAATAAAACTGATGCAAAAACAAACCGACTCCAAATATTTCAATTTTTTAACATTTCTTGAGTGTGAACCATTTCATAAATCTTTCATATAAGTACATGATAAAATACATGAGGCACCTTGAGGAGTTTGACAATTTTACATATCA